TTATATTTTATAGCTTTATCAAGTGATCTTTTCCAAAATCCAACAATAACCTTTGAAGTAACTTTTTCTCTAAAAGTTTGTAACAATTTATTTCTAATAGCAAGAAGATTAGAATAAGGACTAGTTCTAGCTACTTCATCTTTTACAGTTAACCAAATTCCTTCAATAGATTGAAGTTCGTAGTGATAAGGTAGAATATAAAACAAATTATAACTATACTTTTCAGCAATTTTGATACATACAAAAAGTACTTTATTCTTATTCAATTTTACTAATTCATAAAGCTCTGCTTTACTAGAATTTTTTGGGATGCTAATTCCAGTTGATGATAACCACATGATGATCGTATCCTTTCTTGAGTTTGATATCAGTACTTGTTCAATTTGATATTTATAATAATGGGCACTATCTATATAAATATTAACAGATCTATAATGCTCTACAATATTGGCACAGAGTTTATCAAAAAGATCTTCAAAAATTTCAGCATTAAAATGCTGTAGTAGTCAACTTGATTCATTATAATATTGGAATTTTATACAATTTTGGAAATATTATTCTAACTATTAGTATCTGCTCGCTTTCTTCTTTTCAATGCTGATGGTTTTACTGATGGATCTTACAAATACAATGAATTAGAAATAATTTCACTATTAAGTTTATTAGTATTGCAATTATGCATTATAATTATTATGCTAAAAATTACAATTAAAAGACTATAACCAGGAAAATATACAACATCATGATTTAGCACCCAAGTACGATTAGTTATATGATTCAAATAAAAAATAATTTATTCAAAAAAACCTCAGGTCTAGTTAGAACTTTATTTTTTTCTTGTAAATTTTCAAACCTATGCCTCAAATAATAATTACAAAAACTAACATTTTCTTGTAATTCATGTAATATATTCTAGCATTTACCATAGCCATAATAATAACCCAACACATGCAATAAATGAAATAACTGCTATTTGAAAAGAATAAACCTATTTTTTTTAAGCTTTTGATATAACACTAGTGTGGATAGTAGGGTACTAGAAGTATTTGCAGTTAGAATAAGACTGTGCAAAAGTTCAACAAGATTACTATCCAACCTTTTTTTTGGTCAGCCTTGAATTTTTGGTAGTAGAGGTTCTTTACTGTTGCCTTTATTATACTCAGCAACTATATACGTAACTGTCACCTCTTCAATTCCAAGAACCTCAGCAATTTCCTTGTATAATGATAAGACTTAGCATTGCTGCTAGTGTTGGTGAGCAGCTAAAAAGTACTGATGAAAATAAAGGATTATTATTTTTTCATTGCTAGTCAAGAAACTTCTATCTTGTTTTAACTCATCTATAGAAAAAAAAAAAAATTGTGAGAAAAATTTAAAATTCGAAATAATTCTAACCTATTATATAAATTTTATACTTACCTAACTCACCTGACTTGATTTCTGAGTTTTGCATCATAAGAGAAATTTAGGTAATGATTTTTGTGTATCAACCTTTTTGTACTGGACCATACTAAGTAAATTTTGAACTCGACCAATTATGCAATATATAGA